AAATGGACGGTAGGGGAGGGTGTTGCATAGCTAGGTACGCCATTGGTTCTGGACCGTACGATTACGACCTCTCTAAAGCAGATCGCATCATGCTTCGCTTTCGTCCCATCGCTCCTAAACCAACCACCGACGGCGGAGTAAAGCCGGTATCAAGCGGAGATAGCGGCGGCGGAAGCGGAAGCTCCGACGTTTCCGTTAGGTCAGGTAGAGGAAAGAGGAAATGTCAACAGATTAAAGAGATTAATGGTGGTAACGCCAAGAGGTGCACTCGGCGGAGGAGATCGGAGAAGTCAGTCGTTCACGGCGGAGCTACTGCGGTGACTCTTTCTCTGCTACCGGAGACACCTGATCAAGGAGATCTTAAGGCGTCGGTGGAGAAGCAGAAGCGGCAAGGTCCATTCTGGCTAAGTTTCAGCGACGGTGCCGGGATGTTAACTCCGGCGTACCGGACGACGGAGGTATTACCGAGGAAGACGGTGGTGATCTCGTCGTGTATGACGGTGGAGCGTGTAACGGACGCTTGGATTGACGGTTACGGTTTAGGGAGGTCAGATCAAGAAAGGAAGATGAATCTTGTGAGGGATACGTGTCCTGGTTTCATATCCGACGGTTCCGGGAGAGTGACGTGGACGAACAACGCGTACAGGAAGATGGCGAGGGATAATATTCCGGTGGAGGAAGGTGTACCGGAGAAGACAACGAGTGGCGATAGTTTTCATGTGATCGTACGATTGGTGATGAGGGAGAGACCGATGCTAACGTACCCGGCTTTCACATGCAGAGTGAAACTACAGTACACGTGTCAAGATCGTGAGAGAGGATCAGTCACGGTGCCTTGCGACGTTTGGAGAATGGATGGTGGTGGCTTTGCTTGGAGGCTCGACGTTAAGGCCGCTTTGTGCCTTTAAACGTTAGATCATTAATTTATGGTCACGATCTGCGACGAACGGTCTCGATCCTTTACATTACATGACCTCCTCCAAACAAATCATGCAATCGTATAACTAAATTTTTATTTATCTTTATTATTGTCTTAATAGATCTTCTTTAGAGTTTTTGTAAAAATGTTTTTTTACATTTCTTGTGATGCTAGATTTCGAGCTTATTGTTTTAAAGCTAAGTAATGAAAAATTTGTAAATATTAAATGCGTTTATCGTCGGTATCGACATGATCACGGCAAGGTTGGAATATATGGTCGGGGTGACCGTCCAACCATGCAAAATCTAAAAGTGGTCCAAAACTTGAAACTAGGCCTGCGATTTCGGACAATTCGGATAATGCGCTTCGGGTAGTTTGGATAACAACAATTCTACCGAATATAACCGAAACAATTTTCGGTTTAGATTGGATTGGATATCGATTAGTTCGGGTATTTTATTTTCAAATCGAAACTACCCGAAAATTTTCAAACTTTATTTAAATTAGGGTAAAATCGGATAATTTCGGTTAATTGGTCTGAAAATTCGGATAAATTGGGTAGTTTGGATCTTTTCTTTAATAAAAAAATGCCAGATTTTTGATCTATGAGTAACTTTTTTTCTTGGTTTTGGGAGGCAAATCAAAACTTGATTTCTCAGTTGTTCTTTTCTTACCAACATCATTACCGTCATTCTAAACTTCTTCTCTTTCAACCTCTTCTTCAAAAATTTCTTAATAGTTGTCTTCGCAAGACATCTGAAAATTTATTTCAATGATCATGGTTAATTTTATAAAATAGAGCTACTGATATTCTACTTTGAATCTTTATACCTTTTTAATTGATAAGTTTGAAGTGAAGAAAATTTGGGTCGGATTTGATGGATGAATTAGGTTTGAAAAACGAGAAGTCGTGAAGAGGCGAGATACGTTTGGGTGAAAGAAGAGAAGAGATAAAGATGTGTAATTATTTTTTTTTGGTTGGTTTAGAAAAT